GAGCCCTCATGGCCTGCAAAGCTAACAATATTTACCAGTTGCCCTTTTCAGAAAAAGTTTGGTGACTCCAACAATAATAGATTCCTCATTTTTAAAAAACACAGCTACCTAATATACCATTGCAGGGACGGCTGCAATTTAACAGGTAACCTGCAGGGTGGGGATTTAGGAGGTCGTTTTCAATCTCTAGCTATTATAATCATGTTTATAATACTACTAGAGGCCTGATGCACGAAATTCATGCAAGGGGCTTGGCCCTCGCAGCCCTGGCTTTGTCCAGATGATCATTCAGCTGTCTGGTCTAATTAGCATATTACACTTTTATTATTATAGATAATAAATGTATAATATCCTATTTTCTATATACATGAGCAGTTACAGTAAAAATTCCTATAAGTAGAACGGCTGAGTCAAAGAGTACATGTATTTGTAATTTTGATGGATATTGTCATGTTTTAGGAGCAAAAGCAGCGAGTGCCTGTTGTTCCACTCTCAGGAACGTCCCCCCACACTGTCCCCCTGCTCTAATACAGGGATGTGTTTACAGGGAGCCAGCCTGCATCTCGGATCCTTCACTGCGAAACAGAGGCCTGATGCTGCCCAAGCTCTGGTTTCCACTTGAAATTCCCGGTAACCTTTCCATTGCTCCTCAGCGGTGTGAATGGAGACATCCAAGGCCCCACATTCCTCTCTGTCATCTCCTGTCCAATACTGACAACTTTATAGAAAACCCAAAGGAAAAGGGGCCACGGCCACTCGGCCACAGCTGTGCTGTCCTCTGCCACTGCAGACAGAGTCTGAGATGCAGGACAGCCTGAACGACACTTTATAGTTTGCACTTAATGTTCACTTGCTTCTCAGCGGCTCCCACAGACTTTGTGAGTCATTTCTGATGTTTTCACATTAGACCAAGCTGATGAATCTCCTTACCTAGTTCTTGGGCCAGTTTGGTTACCCACAACGTTTAATGATTCTGAAAAATACTGTAACGAGCGCCTTTATAAATGTAGACTCTCCTTGTTTAAAAATGACACTAGATGATTTATGAGGGGAAAAAAAGAATTGACCTTCTTAAGGGTATATGTGTGTATCAGTTGAGCCATTTATCTATAACTTGCCTTAAAAAATAATTTAAGGTCTTTTTTTAAAAAAAATACATTTTATTGATTTTTTACAGAGAGGAAGGGAGAGGGACAGAGAGTTAGAAACATCGATGAGAGAGAAACATCGATCAGCTGCCTCCTGCACACCTCCTACCGGGGAAGTGCCTGCAACCAAGGTACATGCCCTTGACCGGAATAGAACCTGGGACCTTTCAGTCCGAAGGCTAATGCTCTACCACTGAGCCAAACCAGTTAGGGCTATGGTCTTATTTTTAAAAATATTTATATGAAGTTATGAATATTTTGGGATGAAACTCTAGCCAGTTAATCTTCACCTGCTCACCTCCCGAGTTTGTAAAAGTGATCAGAAGGGACCTGGCAAAATCCACATCAGCTTTGGAGGAAAAAGCATTGTATTTGTGGGATAGAACATTACTTATTGCTCTTTAGCTGTTTTGGAAAACATACTTTATTGCTGCTGTGGTAGATTAGTAACTAATTCCTCCTAAAAGTGCCTCTGTTGCCCATTAAAAACCATCATCAACAAAAACAACAAATCTACCCAAACAACAACAACAAAAAACCTGGTTGCCCTGAAAGCAAGACTCAGAGGAAGAGTGAGGGCAGGAGCTCCTGGCTTTTCCACAAGTGCCTGTTTTAATGTTGATTTAAGAAAATATTTAATAAAACCCCTAAAACCATATAGAGGCCTGGCCTGGTAGTCCAAGAGCCAGGCCCCAGTCCAGGACATTCCACGGGGTCCTTCCACAGGTCACACCCTCCTCCCCCAAACCCCCGTTCCCTGGGTCTTCGTTTCTTTCTTTCTGTGTGTGTTTTAATATATTTTTATTGATTTCAGAGAGGAAGGGAGAGGGAGAGACAGAGAGAGAGAGAGAGAGAGAGAGAGAGAGAGAGAGAATCATTGATTGGCTGCTTCCTACATGCCCCGATGCCCCACACTGAGGTTCAAACCTGCATCCAGGGCATGTGCCCTGACTGGGAATCGAACCGTGACTCCTGGTTCACAGGTCAACACTCAACCATTGAGCCACACAGGCTGGGCTTTTTTTTTTTTTCTGTTAAAATAAAAGAGGCGGCGAAGGGCTGATGACCTCTGATGCCCCTTCTACAGCTTTATTTTTTTTAACGAGACCTTCTTGGCAAGTCACTTTAAAATGAATAGTACATGTTCCAAATCCAAGCCCAAGTGCATTGGAACTTCTGCAGTTTGGACACTTGGTCCCATGTTGGTAGCCAGCGGGGTGATCCTTAATGATCTCTCGCTGTGTAAAACACACCTCGGTGGGGGGCCACGCTCAGACATGGATTTAACAAGCTGGCCGGCCTCGGGGGCCCGGTGAGGGCGGTCTCCTTGCTTCTCCCACAAGCACTCACTGAGCACCTCCTTGCAAACTCACTGGGCTAGACGCCCTGAGACACAGCAAAGGAGGCAAGAAGACAGGACCGCTGGGGAGGAAGAGGCGGGGACAGCGAGAGCCCAGTGTCACAGAAGGTCAGCCCTCACAGAGGGGAGGTGTCACCACTCTGAAGCTGGAAACACACCAAGGGCCTCTTATTTGGGGAGGAGACACCCCTGTTCACTCTTCATACCAGAAGCATCAGGTGCCGCCAGTACCCACCAGCCTGTACCCCGCAGGGCCTGGGCACTCACCTGAAAAACCGCGGCTGGTGCTCCACGTTGTTCTCCTCCAAGACCCGCCGCCTGTCCCTCTGCAGCTGCTCAATCCTCTGCTTCTGCACCTCGGCCTCCTCCACGTTCCCTTCTTCCAGAAACCTGAGCGTGGAGGGAGAAATAAAGGAACTCAACTCCACGAAAATGGAGCGACGTTACTGCTGAAACTGCGGGTGTCTAAACTGAATATTCCCAACACTCTCCTATACATAGGCCCTTCTCTAACCCTTAAAACAAGATTGTGAGGTCGTCAGGGAAGATCTGATTTTTTAAATTGGTGATATATACATACTGTATATATCAAAAAATTATGTCTATACAAAGTAATTTGGAGTAAAGTCTCCCACTCATCCTTGTCTCTGATTCTTGCTACCTGTTTCCTGCCCACCCCACCGTCACTCCGCAGGTAATCCCCTGCTATTAGTTTCTAGTGCATTCTTCTAGACCAGGGGTGGGCAAACTTTTTGACTCGAGGGCCACAATGGGTTCTTAAACTGGACCGGAGGGCCGGAACAAAAGCATGGATGGAGTGTTTGTGTGAACTAATATAAATTCAAAGTAAACATCATTAAAAAAAAGGGTACGGTTTTTTTTTTTTTAGTTTTATTCATTCCAACCAGGCCGGATCCGGCCCGCGGGCCGTAGTTTGCCCACGGCTGACCTAGGGCCAGGGGGAAGGGAACAATGGGGACATTATTGTTTAATAGGTATGGAATTTGAGTTTGAGATGATGAAACATTCTGGAGAATGGACAGTGTTCATGGTTGCACAGCAGTGTGAATGTATTTGATGCTGCTGAACTATACGCTTAAAAATGGTTAATAGGGAAAATTTTATGCTAGGTATATTTTACCAGGATTTAAAAAAGTAAAGTAAACCAGTGAGATGCACCTATGAAAAAACAGTGGTACAATCTGGATGTACAAGGCAGGATGATGTCTTTTTGCTGTTATTTTCTTTTCATTTTTACCTATTTATTTACTAGCTACTTATTTAAAATTTACTAGATAAATTGTATCTAATATAGTCATTCTTAAGTCTTAGAGTTATAGAGAAACATCGATCAGCTGCCTCCTGCACATTCCCCACTGGGTATGTGCCCGCAACCAAGGTACATGCCCTTGGCCGGAATCGAACCTGGGACCCTTGAGTCTGCAGGCTGACGCTCTATCCACTGAGCCAAGACGGTTAGGGCTTACCTTTTTTTAAATTCTCACCCAAGGATATTTTTTCCATTGTTTTTTTTTTTTTTCTTTTTTTTTAAGAGAGAGAGTGGATGGGAAGGAGGAAGAGGAGAGGAGAGAGTGAAACATTGTTGTGAGAGAGACACATTGATTGGTTGCCTCCTGTATGCACCCAACCTGGGCCAGGGATTGAATCTGCAAACGAGGTACGTGCCCTTGACCTGGAATGGAACCCGCAACCCTTCAGTCCACAGGCCGACCTCTAACCACTGAACAAAGCCGGCCAAGGCTTGTTTCAACTTTACTTAACAATACAGGGTGGGGAGAAAGTAGCTTTACAGTTATGAGTACCCGAAACAGAGTTTATTCTTGTATTATTAATTATTTTATTATTTTCTAAATGAACAACTATAAACCTACTTTTGCTGCACCTTGTATATCTTGGAGATCTTTCTTGGTAGCACACAGACATCTTCATTTTTTATTAGCTGCATAATATTCAATTGTGTGGACATACCTGAATTTATTTAAATAATTTCCTACTGACAGACTTTGGGGATGCTCCCAATTTTTAAATGTAATTTATCATTAATGCTGCAATGAATGACCATGTATATCTGTCATTTTGTGCGTGGGTTAGTGTACCTGTAAGGAGAAATTTCTAGAAGTGAGATTGCTGGGTTAAAGGGTGAGTTTGTAATATATATATAAAACCAATAGCACTTCATGGGGATTATACCATTTACATTGCCACCAGCAATGTTATTAGTGCGCCTTTGCCCTATAGGCTCAGCGTACACCACACTTTTGAGTCTTTGCTATCTGATAGGTTAAGAAATGGGACGTCAATGGGGTTCTAAAAATTTCATTTCTTTGAGTGAGATGGAGCATCTTTCATGTTTAAGGGACATCTGCATTTCTTATTTTGTGACCTGTTCATTTTCTTATGTCCATTTTTAAAATGAGTTGATCTTGATTTCTAGAACAAATTCATGAAATGAGTTGCAAGTACAGATTCCTCAGTTTGTCATTTATCTATTCACTCTGGGTATGTATTTTATTTACTTTGCCATGAAGGGTGTTGATGGATTTTTCTCTTTCTTTCTTTCTTTTAATAAAGTCAAATTTTACCCTGGCTGACGCTCTATCCACAGAGCCAAACCAGTCAGGGCAACCTGTTCATTTTCTTATGTTCATTTTTAAGATGAGTTGATCTTGATTTCTAGAACCAATTCATAAAATGAGTTGCAGCACAGCTTGTTAGCAGCAAACAAAGAATCAAAAGTTAGCTCTCAATGCATCAAAATAATTTAAATTCTAGGGGTGGAGGAGGAGGATGTTTTTTATTCTTTCAACACACAATGTTTTATTTTTATTGAATGCAGTAAAACTCTTAGAAATAAACACTTTTTTGATACTTCAATAGAAATGGGGCTCTACTGATGACTAAAGGTCGTACCACACACAGCGCTAAGCTGGGCTCCGTTCCTACCACACGGCTGCTTCAAGTCGCCCTGGCCCTCTATTCCTGATGACATTATCTCTCTCTCAGGTCCCTCTGGTGCCCCGGGAGTTGTTAATAACAGTCTTTTTAAAAAGTTTTACATCTCTGGAGACAAAGATAGTTTTTTTTTCTTCTGGGTTTTGGGTCTTAATTAGAAAGGCCTCGGGGGAGAGATAATTCTTTCCATTTTATAAAGTAGGAATCTGAGGCTGAGAAAGATTAAAAGACTTATATGTTGCACAGCTTGTTAGCAGCAAACAAAGAATCAAAAGTTAGCTCTCAATGCATCAAAATAATTTAAATTCTAGGGGTGGAGGAGGAGGATGCTCTTTATTCTTTCAACACACAATAAGTTTTATTTTTATTGAATGCAGTAAAACTCTTAAAAATAAACACTTTTTTGATACTTCAGTAGAAATGGGGCTCCACTGGTGACTAAAGGTCACGCCACACACAGCGCTAAGCTGGGCTCCGTTCCTGCCACACGGCTGCTTCAAGTCCCCCTGGCCCTCTATTCCTGATGACATTCCCTCTCTCTCAGGTCTCCCTGGTGCCCTGGGAGTTGTTAATAACAGTCTTTATAAAAAGTTTTACATCTCTGCAGACAAAGATAGAAAAAAAAAAAAATCCTTACCTTTGGTCTGGCCTAAATCGAGTGTCAGTAGTGGTAATAAACATCTCAGACCTGTCATCATTTCTCTCAGCTCTGAACTCTTCCATTTCTATTAAAATATCCTGGTTAGCAGCTGAACACTGCCCTATACATTTTCTTCTCTGCAAGTTTTTTCCTACCTACAAGGATAAGGCCTCTGCTGTATGGGTCGCACAGCAAATTTATAAAACACTGTGAAATTTCTAGACTGTTTAAGCTATAAAAATTGTTCATTTACTAAAATAAACATGTAAAAAAAGCTCTCGGTCCATTTTACTGACAAACAAGACTGCCACTCTAGAATCCAGGTGTGTTCTTTAAAATGCTCACCCAAGGACATGGAGAGAGAGAGAGAGAAAGAGAGAGAGAGAGGGAGAGAGACAGACACAAACATCAATTAGTTGCCTTCTGTAGGTACCCTGACTGGGGATCGAACCTGCAACCCAGGTATGTGCCCCGATGGGGAATCAAACTGGCAGCCCTTCAGTGCACAGGACAACACTCAACCAACAGAGCTGCTCCGGCCGGGCTAGAGAATCCATTTTTCATTTGAGAGACGTCAAATTCTCCTAAAACTCTGTCTACTCCCTAAAATAGTGTTGAACTCCTAGCAAGTGGTCAATAAACGTTCTTTCTTCCACACCTGCCCTTCTTCTCACCTATTTTAATGTAAAACCATCTCAGCAGAAGCCAGGGTTGGAGGGATTATGCTGGCACAAACACAGCCGCTGGGACTGAGGGGACAGAGACGACGGGACAGAGGGAAGAAAGCTACCAGGTTACTGGCATTTCACAGGCTGGGACCACAGAGTGCTCCAGCTGCACATGAGCCAAGGGGCAAGTGGCTGGGGTGACTCAGAGGCCCCCAGGCTGCCACTGCCAGGGCAGGCCCAAACGGCACAGGCCTAGGGGCGAGGCTGCCGCCACCTGGCAAAGGGTGGGCCCACTGCTGCAGCTTAGCCTGCCGGTGGCCACCACCCAGAGCCCGGGGACAATGGAGGCAGGGCCACTGCCCCAGTGGGCCCAGAGGGTTGGACATGGAACCAGAGAGAATTATCCTGGACCCTTACGATCTAATGACATTTTTTCCTTGCTAGTTCAGGCTTGCCTGGGGCCTGTCATCCCTCCATGTCTCCCTTCAGAATGCCGATCCTTTGCCTGTCACCACTGTATTTTGGAAGCACATTTTGGTTTCCTAGGCTCACAGCTGGAGAGGATGAATCACACCTCAAGCCTCACCCATGCCTGACATGATATTCAGATGAGACTTTGGACTTCAGAGTTGATGCTGAAATGAGGTAAGGCTTTGGGCGGCTGTTGGGATGGAATAAATAGATTTTGCCTGTAAGAAGGACAGGAATCTGGGGCCCAGAGGCAGAATGTTACAGACTGAATGTATCCTCCCAGAATTCACAGGGTGAAGCCCTCCCCTCCGTGTGGCCTCTAAGGAAGTAATGAAGGTTAAATGAGGTCAGAAGGGTGGGGCCCTGAGCCGGTGGCCACCTGCAAGCCAGGAAGAGGTCCCTCACCAGAGCCCAAAGGTGCCAGCACCTTGATCTTTGATTTCCCAGCCTCCAGAACTATGAGAAAATAAATTTCTATTGTTTAAGCTACCCAGTGTGTGGTACTTTGTTATAGCTGTCCGAGCAGATTCATGGAGACGTATTGTCCTAACTTGAATTCTAGCTAAAAATCAAGCTAAAAACACCCAAACTTACATATTGAGTAAATCAAACATAGGCTAATGAAATCACTCAAAGCCTGAGCTCTTGTTGCTCACATACACGAATACAAATATTTTCCATGAACTTTCTTCAGGCCTTTTTTTTTTCCCAGACCATTTTTGAAGTTTCAGAAGTCCTTTTTGTCAAATTCTAGGTCTAATGTTCTGAGTATCCTAAACATGAAAATCATACCAAAGCTTCCTAACGTGCCTTCAAACATCTATCCCAGTCTCCATCCCCCAGAGTGAAGACAGTGGTTTTCCTTGGAGATGGGCCTGGATGCTCATGGCCCAGGCAGAGACCTGAAGTCAGTGAACAACACTGACAAGAACAGTAGCTCACATAGTGTTCTTTCATCAGGGTTCCACCTTAGCACCCATAGGGGACGGCAGCTCTGCTCTGTGATACACACTTTAAGCAAAGGAAAGTGAATGCTTCATTTGCAGGATGTAACGTGTGCCCCTGAGCCTCTGCAGCTAGGACGGCGGTCACGGCACCAATCCCTTCTCACTGCACATGACCTCTGTGGTGGGGGAGGATGAGGCCGCCGCCCTCTGAAAGAGACACTGTTGGCTGCCCCTTCTGCAGCATCTCCCTTCCTTCCTTGCTAATGGAGACCGCTCTGGTCAGGCGGCGCTGTGTCCTCCTCGCGGATGCATCTACCCATCCGACTCTCTCCTGCCTACCCGGTTGCACAGGATTGCTGTGGGATGGGTCTGGACCCGCTTCAGGCTGACAAAATGTAAAGGCATTTCCTGGGGGACCCTTGGAAACCCTTCCTTCCTGAGGAAGGAGAGACACAACAGAGAAAGCTCTTTTGTCCTCCCTTCTCCCTGCTCGGCGAGCTGCCCCGTGGGGATAAGATACATTTACATCCATGAGGGAAACATCATGGTCATATTGGGAGTCACAGAAGGTGCCCTCAATGATCTGTGCTCCCTACACAGGGTGCCTCTCAGCAACCCTGGGCCCCCCCCACCCCCCGCCCCTCGCTTATTATTAAGTATCAGCACATAGCCTCATGCTTTAAGCCACCATTAGAATGGTTTTCTTGTTTTGTTTTGATAGGTCTCTCAGCACAAGGGGTTTATAATGTGACCATGACTGGGAAACACACTTCGGAGATGAACTAGTCTGCGCATGCTCTGGGGACCTGTTAGGAAGGTCTGGCTTCCCTGGTGGTCCTTCCACAGCTGCTTCCGGGCTCAGCATCCTTGTGGGATGGCAGGCGAGGCCAGAGTGGCTGTGGTGCTGGATGAGTCTGGGGGAATCCCTGACTCTTGTAGAACCCCCAGGTCACCCTGCTTTTCCGGTAGCATTTTTCTCTTGTCCTACTAAAGAACGGCTTCTTGTCCTTGACTGATATCCCTTCTGTGCCCGGGCACAGGCACAGGCGGCTGGGTGCTGATGGAAGATGGTGGCCATGCATTAGCTATGGCCTCATTCTGGGATAAGAACCCAGGGCCTCCCAGAGTGACAGAGGTGCTGGTGATGAGCATGGGAATGAGTCTGAGACCTGATCCGGTGAATGAAAGCGGGACTGACAACTCAGACCCAGTTAGAAGCAGCCTGGAGACTCCATGGCCGCTGATGCCCACTGCTGACGCCCGCCCCTCCACAGTTCCTCCGGCCACGCCCCCACCATCCCCTGGGGCTGATGCCCCTGATACTGACTGGCTCTCCAGACACAGGTGGAGGAGGACGGGCCGCCGTAGTAGATGCTCTCATGCCATTTCCCGAAGAGCCGGTGCACCGCCTTCCCACTCTTGTCAAACACCGTACCTTCGATCTCGCGGGAGTTCGTGCTCCAGTATTTTGCCTAGGATTCAAAGGGGAGTCGTCTGTTGAGTATTTTGGGGTCAACTTATTACAGATTTGAAGAGGGGGAGGGGAGAGGAAAAAGAAAGAACCATAAGGGAAATTCTATATTGCATATAGTTTGCCAGTTTTGGACTCTTATCTCTTATCTCTTTTTTAAAATCACACTTTTAATTATTTAATAAAAATTAATAGCTAGTTCTTTAGAGTTTGCAATCTCAACCAGCCAACATTTGGTAATTTTATGTGTGTGTGTAAGATACTTTTTTTCCCTACTTTTTCTACATGCAAAGAAATAGGAAAGCTCACTTCTACATCAGCCAAATAGTGTGGTTGGCCTGTAAGCCCCCACACATGCCCTGACCAGGGCCGCAGATCGAGCCTGCAACCGAGGTATATGCCCTTGACCCGAATCAAACTCAGGACCCTTCAGTCCGCAGGCCCACGTTCTATAGACTGAGCCAAACTGGCTAGGGCCTGACAATTGCAATTTAAAAGAAATGTAATTCGTGTAATTTTTTTCTCTAAAGGCACAAGACAATCTTTTGTAAACCAATAAAGGTGGCTGCTTTGTAAACCAAGAAATTTTCTAGCATCCCCCCCATCTAGATCTGTCCCTCCAACCACAGAAACCTGAGGCAACGCATATTCACACTGTGGTTGGTCCTGGTCTGAGACCAGCTGGGCTCAGCTCAGCCTGGAGGGTTTTATACAGTACTACACCGCGCCCAGCAGAGGGAGCTCTCACTCCCTAGAGTTGATTTTTTCCAGATCTTTCAATTACCTGGCTGCCCTACAAAATCTCTACGGAGAAAAAAAAAAAGAAGGCATTACTCCATAAGTCGAAAATCCAATTGCTGTTTTCAGCTAAAGCAGGATCTATATTTGGAAACCTATAAAGTTGAGTGGCATTTTCAGGCCACATTCCTAGTCTGGTAAATAGGGAGAAGGGCGGAGTGCAGCAGCATCTCCACCTGAATCAGAGATTCCTAAGCCAGTCCTCGCGTCCTGCAAAAACGAGAAAGATAGAACCACTGTCCAGGCTCCGCAGTTTATTCCGAAGCAGGACTCACTTCTTTTTTGCAGATGTTTGCCCACTATCCATTGCTGGGAAGAGGACGGGACGCCAGAGGCGGCGGTCCTGCTCACTGCAGCGCCTGCATCTGCTCTCAGGCTCTTTCAACACCAGGGACACGCTCAGTGTCCGAACTCTTCTCATTGCTCATGGCTACAAACACCTACTCTCTGTCCCTCAGTGGGCAAGTGCCACGTGGGTGGCAGGGTTCCTTGGGGAAAAGGCTGGACAAGGGGGCTACGGGAGCAGGGGTGCGCAGATTCCCGCGCCAGACAGCCTTTTGCTTCTTCTCTGCAGGGAGCTTAATGAAGCTTTCAGGCAGGGCCATATTTATTTTATGTGAGTCTCTACCAGGTTTACGTCTGATTACAACCCAGCTTGACTTATGGGGTGTAAGAAAGACCCCAGTGCATCTCTCCATCATGCCCCCCACCAGCTACCGGTGGTACGGAGAGGTACCCCATGAAGTTCCACAATTAGAACCTAATAACTCTGCTTAGAACTTTGATCTGAATTCAGTGCAAACATTTTTTTGAGGGGGTAACACTCTAAGGCAGCGGTTCTCGACCTGAGGGTCGCGACCCCTTTGGCGGTTGAACGACCCTTTCACAGGGGTCGCCTAAGACCATCCTGCATATCAGATATTTACATTACGATTCATAACAGTAACAACATTACAGTTATGAAGTAGAAACGAAAACAATTTTATGGTTGGGTCACAACATGAGGAACTGTATTTAAAGGGCCAGAAGGTTGAGAACCGCTGCTCTAAGGCCATGTTAAGTACTTGAGATTTGCAACAGCAAGAGGGCATCTGAGGAGGAAGAAAGGTGGGAGGAGGCTCCAGTTGAGGCTGGTGGAAGGCCAAGCCGACTGGCAGGTGTTCTGCCTCAGGCCAGCCTGTTCATTCACCCTGTGATGAGTCTGCTGGGGGCCAGGCCCCATATCCAGGCAGCAGCTGCACCCCAAGTGAGAGTGAGGAGTGAGAGTGAGCAGGCGTTTGCTTTTCTGGAGCCAGGAACGGCGAGGGAGGTGTGGGGAACAGAAAATAAACAAGTAAATCAATGGGGCAGTTAACTGCAGACAGTAATAAGGAAATGGGATGTGATAGAGAGTCACTAACAAGACAGGGCAGGTGATGGAAGCATCTGGGGAGAGGAGAGAGAATGAAGAGAGAAGGGCCAGTGTGGTCAGAGGACAGTGAGGAAGGATGGGGACGAGGGGCCGGCAGGAGCTGAGGTTGGAGGAGTGAGGTCAGTGTGCGCGTGTGTGTACACGTGTATGTGAACTGGACGGGCGGTGCGGGCAGTGCAGACTGAGCCGGTCCTGTGGGCCTCTGTACGGATGCGAGCTTCTCCGTGAGAAAGACGGACGTTGTCAGAGGATTTGGTCAAATATAACACAACTTCCATTTTTAAAAATTGTGGTAAAACATACATAACAAAATTTACCTTTTTAACCATTTGTAAGTGTAGAATTCAGTGGCATTAAGTACATTCATAATGTTGTACAATCACTGCCTTATATCTTTCCAGAAATTCTTCATCCTCCCAAGCTGAAACTCTGCCCATTAAACAACTCCCCAGGCCCTCTCCCCAGCCCCTGGCCACCACCATTCTGCTCTGTCTCTGTGGCTTTGACTGCTCTAGGGACCTCACAAGAATGGAATCAGACGGCTGGCATATTTCACTCAGCAGGTCTTCAAGGTACATCCATCCTGAAGCATATGACTTAGGTTTTATTTTATTTTTTAAATATGTTTTAATTGATATCAGAGAGGAAGGAAGAGGGAGAGAGAGACAGAAACACCAATAATGGAGAGAATCCTTGATCAGCTGCTTCCTGCATGCCCCACACTGGGGATCGAACTGTGACCACTTGATTCATAGGTGGATGCTCAACCACTGAGCCATGCTGACCGGGCTGACATATTTCAGAAGAGACCCTCTGGCTGCTGCCCTGAGGACAGACCAGGGGGAGGATGGGTAGAGGCCGGGAGGAGCTATGGCCCTGGTCCAGGTGAGAGAGTGGGGCTGGGACCAGGGGACCCCAGCTGGCATTGTTTGTCTGCTGGCATAGAAGTGAAGGTGAAAGGTTCCCCAAGACACATGAGGCCCCAGCTCTATAAGGCCTTTCCAGGGTGGAGTAGAGACCCAGGGCCACCGCTCACCTTGATGAAGTTCACTTTGCAGTGGCAGGAGTCGTCATTCAGGTTCTTAATGACAATCTCCCCATAGTGCTCAATCCACCGCTGCCCACTTAAGATGTTATGGATGCAGGAGGTGACTTTGTTCCACTCAAAATGGTCCCCGAAACTAAAGGAGGAAAAGGTGAGAGGGTGATGCCCAGAGGAGCCAGCAGGGGATGCAAACAAGCGCTGCTTTTTAAGTAAGTCACGCAATGGTTACTCATCCCTGCACCTGCGGAGCCAGCACCCACTGAGAACCGGGCTGGGCTCGGCATTCTGAGCCTTCACTCTCCAGGGAGGCAGCACACTACCGAGGGCGACAGCACCAGCCTCAGCACTCTGCAAGCGCCGGAGGCCTGGCTACCTCTGCTGACCTCATGGAACACCCGCCCCCTCCGGGGACAGAGGAGGGAACTGAGAGCCAGAGGTGACTCGTCTAAAGTCCCCAAACTAGGGAAGGGAAGTGGCCATGGGGAAGAATGGGGGTTTTCACTACCTGCTCTCCCGCCCCCACATACATGTGCACACACATCTATATATGCATATAGGTACACACAAGTGTGTGCATATTACGCACCTATATGTACACACACATATATCATATGTGTAAATCTTAAGATACATATATCTTAAATCTTTTACAACGAGAAAGTATTCAGATTCCAGTTCAACAGATACATAATAATTAATAAGACCAAACACTGGCATGGCACATACCATGTGCCAAGTACTAGTTTACGTGTTTAATCTTCACAGCAGTCCTGTGAAGTGGGTAGTGTATCATCCGCGGTTCACAGGTGGCAGCACTGGAGACCAGAAAGGTTAGGGAACCTCCAGGATCTGCCATCAGCTCGCAGCAGAGCGAGCACCGGGGTCCTGGCAGCCTGGCTCCAGGGGCCACATTTAGTTTTATGAGTAAGTGTCAATCATCCCTGAAAGACCAAGGCCATACCCTTCTGAAAAGGAATTCAGACTGTGAGGCAGGACAACCACGTTAACAAAAACCATCATTCTTAGCGGTCGTACACTAATTACCATGTTTCTCTTTTATTAGTGTAGATATGTTTTAATTGATATCAGAGAGGAACTAAGAGGGAGAGAGAGACAGAAACATCAATAATGGAGAGATTCCTTGATCGGCTGCTTCCTGCATGCCCCACACTGGGGATCGAACTGTGACCACTTGATTCATAGGTGGATGCTCAACCACTGAGCCATGCACCCAGCGCCTTAGGGATCGGGGACCGTGGGCAGCTTGCTCCTAAGGCTGCCATCTTGGCCCTAAGTTCTCTAAGGTTCCCAACCACAAAGGCACTTACGCCGGCAGAGTCACATGGGTTGTGCCAATGGGAACGATTTCCATGGATTTGCCCCAGAATTTGTTTTTCCATCTCACATCTGAAATGAAATAATACCAAGTATTATTACACATTTACCAGGAGAGCTAGGTAGACAAAAGAGTTCTTCGGCTGCATAAATGATCAATCATGACACCAAACAATCTCTTCATAATAAAACCCCTTATCATATAGGATAACTTTAAAAAATATATTTTTTATTGATTTCAGAAAAGAAGGGAAAGGGAGAGAGAGATAGAAACATCAATGATGAGAGAGCATTATTGATTAGCTGCCTGCTGCACCCCCGCCCCCCCACTGGGGATCAAGCCTGAAACCCAGACATGTACCTGCTCAATCCACCGCTGCCCACTTAAGATGTTATGGATGCAGGAGGTGACTTTGTTCCACTCAAAATGGTCCCCGAAACTAAAGGAGGAAAAGGTGAGAGGGTGATGCCCAGAGGAGCCAGCAGGGGATGCAAACAAGCGCTGCTTTTTAAGTAAGTCACGCGATGATTACTCATCCCTGCACCTTCGGAGCCAGCACCCACTGAGAACCGGGCCGGGCTTGGCATTCTGAGCCTTCACTCTCCAGGGAGGCAGCACGCTACCGAAGGCGAGAGCACCAGCCTCAGCACTCTGCAAGCGCCGGAGGCCTGGCTACCTCTGCTGACCTCATGGAACACCCGCCCCCTCTGGGGACAGAGGAGGGAACTGAGAGCCAGAGGTGACTTGTTTAAAGTCCCCAAACTAGGGAAGGGAAGTGGCCATGGGGAAGAATGGGGGTTTTCACTACCTGCTCTCCCGCCCCCACATACATGTGCACACACATCTATATATGCATATAGGTACACACAAGTGTGTGCATATTACGCACCTATATGTACACACACATATATCATATGTGTAAATCTCAAGATACATATATCTTAAATCTTTTACAATGAGAAAGTATTCAGATTCCAGTTCAACAGATGCATAATAATTAATAAGACCAAACACTGGCATGGCACATACCATGTGCCAAGTACTAGTTTACGTGTTTAATCTTCACAGCAGTCCTGTGAAGTGGGTGGTGTATCATCCGCGGTTCACAGGTGGCAGCACTGGAGACCAGAAAGGTTAGGGAACCTCCAGGATCTGCCATCAGCTCGCAGCAGAGCGAGCACCGGGGTCCTGGCAGCCTGGCTCCAGGGGCCACATTTAGTTTTATGAATAAGTGTCAATCATCCCTGAAAGAACAAGGCTATACCCTTCTGAAAAGGAATTCAGACCGTGAGGCAGGACAACCACGTTAACGAAAACCATCATTCTCAGTTTTGTTAGAAAGTATAAATGAGTTTTTAAAAAGCATCTTTGCTGGCAATTTTGGTCTCAAGGAAGCATTTTCATTTGAGGGGAATAAACTGTGAGGTCGTCACAATAAGGAATACTTGCATTTACTGTCAAACACATTAAAAAACCCAACCAGACACCCAGCGCCTTAGGGATCGGGGACCGTGGGCAGCTTGCTCCTAAGGCTGCCATCTTGGCCCTAAGTTCTCTAAGGTTCCCAACCACAAAGGCACTTACGCCGGCAGAGTCACATGGGTTGTGCCAATGGGAACGATTTCCATGGATTTGCCCCAGAATTTGTTTTTCCATCTCACATCTGAAATGAAATAATACCAAGTATTATTACACATTTACCAGGAGAGCTAGGTAGACAAAAGAGTTCTTCGGCTGCATAAATGATCAATCATGACACCAAACAATCTCTTCATAATAAAACCCCTTATCATATAGGATAACTTTAAAAAATATATTTTTTATTGATTTCAGAAAAGAAGGGAAAGGGAGAGAGAGATAGAAACATCAATGATGAGAGAGCATTATTGATTAGCTGCCTGCTGCACCCCCGCCCCCCCACTGGGGATCAAGCCTGAAACCCAGACATGTACCTTGACTGGGAATTGATCTGTGACCTCCTGGTTCATAGATCAATGCTCAACCACTGAGCCATGCCAGCTGGGCACAGGATAACTTTTTATTATCTACTAGTGACCTGGTGCATGGATTCGTGCACATTGAAAGGAAATTAATTAGAAGGTGGCCGGCAGGGCAGGACTGGGGGAGACTAGACACACCCTGGAGCCAACCTCCCTTGGTCCCTCCCCGGCTGGCCACACCGGGGGTAGCACTGTGGCTCGAAGGGCATCTGCGGAGTGAGCAGGGTTCCTCTGGCAGGTGGGGGCCCTCAGCCTGGCCTGCGGGGATCAGGCTGAAACCGGCTCTCCAACATCCCTCGAGGGGTCCCGGAGTGCGAGAGGGCACTTTGAAAAGTTGCTGTTGTACAGGGTGTGGAACGCAAACACAAGTGTGCAGTAAACCAGATTCGGGGCCAACAGTGCCCCAGCAACAACATAACCCATGGCCATAGGTGGAATCGCGCGGCCCCACGAGGAATCGGGCTCCTTTCTCTCTGGTTTCGGGGTGCATCACCTGAGAACCACCGCTGCCAAGTCACTGCAGCTCCTGCGTTGAGCGTCTGCCCCCTGGTGGTCAGTGCGTGTCATAGCAACCAGTCAGACGGTCGGACACTTAGCATATTAGCCTTTTATCTATATATATAAAAGCCTAAGCGACCGGCCAACTGGCTGGTAGCTATGATGCGTAATGACCACCAGGGGGCAGACGCTCAAAGCAGGAGCTGCCAAGCTGCAGTGACTTGGCAGCTGTGGTTCTTGGGTGATGCATCCAGAACCAGAGAGGAGGGAGCCCGATTCCGGGGTGTGTCATCCAAGAACCGCCTTCTAGCTGCAGTGACTTGGCAGCTGTGATTCTTGGGTGATGCATCTAGAACCAGAGAGGAGGGAGCCCGATTCTGGGGTGTGTCATCCAAGAACCGCCTTCTCGCAATCCGGGACCCCTCGGGGGATGTCAGGAGCCAGTTTCGGCCTGATCCCCGCAGGCCAGGCCGAGGGACCCCACCGGTGCATGAATCCATGCACCAGGCCTCTAGTATATATAGATAATTAGAAATTGAGTTCTAGGGAAGCTAATGAGAAGATGAAGTCCCTCCCTTGGGAGAGCTCACTGGCTGAGTATGTTGTGTGGTGAAATGGAAGAAGAACATGCTTGGTTAGAGAGAAGAGTGGGAAGACATATGTGTACAAACGCCACTGGGCTCTACAGCCTGGCTAAGAAGTCTGGTCTGTGAGCCTCAAGGGAAAATAAGATGTTTGTTTGGACAGAGAACTGATGTGATTAGAGACAGACTTTGCAGAGATAACTGGCAGCAATATAGAGAAAGGAATAGGAGCAGGAGAGATGAGAAGCAGGTGACAAGTTGCAACGATTGCCCAGAGATTCCAAGTCCAGGGCCCACTTTTAATCTTAACAAGCATTTAACAGCCATTCCGTAATAAAATAAAAATCTAACATCACAAAAAACGAGGGGGTTGAATAGATTAGCACATTACCTTGCCAGAAAACAAAATTTTCAGACTCAGCGTGACATGCAGAGATAGGTGGGTGGTGGCTGACCTGTTGGAAACAAAGGCCAAAAACATTAACTGTGTGTCTCCTGAAGTCCCTTCCTTCTCCCTTGCGTTGAGATGTAACAACGCTCAGCGTCGGTTTTCTTTTAGCAAGTCTGTCCCTTAGAAGGCGCTTCTAATGCGGTCAGTTCCAATTTGCTCCAGTTTGTTAGGGGTGAATGGAAGCCTCGGAGAAAAGTGGCAAAGTGAGAGAGGAGGACAGAGACACCTTTTGAAAGACGTGAAAATAAAAACAAGGGCACGCCAGGGCTGCCCGCTCACAAACCCTCTAATCTGACATCGGCTACCCATGTCAAAATCCCTATCAGCTGCTCTGAGGGCACCTGCATTTAATTAGATTGTCAAATCACAAATATTTTTAAACGCTACTTCTAAGCAACACAAAAACTCTCAATGCCTCAGCAGATTTCACTCTTTTGAAAATTGCATCACATGTCCAGTCTCTTTGCAAATTACCTACAGGAAGACGAATTCAAGATCACTTTTTTAAAAAGAATAATGTGTCTACAAACCATTATTGAAGAAATATTAGTCAACTGGTAGGAAAAAAAGTTTTACTCATTTTCTGTCATAATAGAAATAGGCAATTTGAGTAAATAGGCAATTACATTCTAGAAAAGAGTCCCCTGGGGCAGAGACGGTAGCCGACTCCCTGCCTTTTGACACTGGAGTCATTACTTCCGGCTGATTCACTAACGAAGGAGCTAATGAGGAAATGTGTCCTCAGTTACTGAGGCACGTGAACGGTAAGTGTGCTGTTATTATAATTCAGTACTAGTAAAACCAGAGTGACGTTGGCGGTGGTGTTTCCAGAAACTTCTGTCAGCTGGTTCTTAGCCAAGCATCTTACATGTAGAGCATCCAGCTAGGCTTCACATTACAAACGAGGAGAGAAACCAGGAAGATTAAGCAAGGTTTCCCAAACACACTGACAGGAAAGAAGCAAAGGGAAAACCCAGCATTTTTTGTTTATATCATGGTTTTCAGGAGTGGGGGTGGCGGGGAGGTGGTGGCTGACAATGCTCAAATCCACAGCTCTGGACCCTCAGGCACATGGTCTGAAAACCACTTCCGGTGCCACCCCTGTAGGCAGAGAACGGCAGGGGCAGCTTCATCTGGAGTCCTGTCACATACACGCTGAACGGATGGCTTTCACCTGCCAGCTCGGCCCGAAGAGAAGCAGAGGCAAACTCGTAAACAGCTGTGGCATCTCTCAGTTCTCAGCGAGCACCCATCTCAGATCCAAGATGTGATGGGCGATGCACCTTTGCTGCCCCTGGACGGTAGTCATTCCCACAGGCCTCCTAAGAACACAGCCCCTCCCTGTGTCTGTGGGATTCTCAGGGGCAATTTTCACTTCCAGCCCTTTTAGAAACCTACCTCCTAAAATGCATGCAAGCATAACCAATGGACACAGACACCAGGGGGGTGAGGGCATGTACTGGGGGCTGGTGGGTAGGGGAGGCCGGGGGAGGTAAATGGGGGGGGGGAGGAAGGAGACATATGTACTACTATTTGTAATACTTTAAGCAATAAAAAAAATCCTGTAATTTATTTATATAGCAGAGGTCTTTCTTCACCCTGACCTAATCATTTTTATTTATGCTTTGAATGTACCAAGAGGAGGGAAGCAGATGGGAAAAGAATGCATTTCAATATTTGTGTATTTTTTAAGTTTTCCTTTTTTTGGATTTATAAAAATATCCCTTAAATACATCAATTCTGCAGCTGTTCCGAGACCTAACTAGACAGTCTTCCTAGTTCCTGACTTGCCTCTGACCTTGTAGGGCAACTTGTGGGGATCAAACCTACAACCCAGGTATGTGCCCTTGACTGGGAATTGAACTGAGACCCTCCAGAAGGTCGACGCTCCCATCACTGAGCCACACCGGCCAGGGTGACTCTTCCATTTTAGTAACTTTCAATAACTCCACTCGGCTTTTCTGTCGAGAGTATGTGGATGGGTGGGTAAATGGTTAAAATGACTGGGACAGCGAATCAGGAAAAGCCACTTTCAGGAAATAGCTTAACTGCGCATTCTAAATTTAGACCAAACCTTTCCCAAAGGTAGGAAGAGAAGCCACGCCAACTGAAGGGAGTTTCCTGAGCCCCCAGTGGCTGATGAAGCCCCACATAGCAGAGCTCCGTGCCAGGCAGCAGGGGGAGCCAGTGAGGAGTAACTCACCCGCAGGAGACAGTCCAGGAGAGAAAGGAAGTCCTTTCTGCCTGACCCCCCCACCCCACCCCCAGTTCTGGGCTTATTTAGAAAGCCACGGCTGACTCAGATTTCTTGGCACAAAGAAAGCTCCTTCCCCGAGACGGTGGACCATATGACAGGAATGTCTATAACTTACTCCAGATGCACCTCCTCCTCAGAGGCCACCCGCCAGCCACAGTGGGCGCTGAGAACAACGTCCTGTGTGAGTCGGAGGACGCAAGGCCGAGTGACAATGACAGACCAGAGCCCACAGTCTGGACAGTATAAAAGGCTATTTTCCATCTGCAGCCCAAGTCCAGCAGCTCTGAGCGCAGCACCTAAACTACACGAGAGACCCCAAGAGTGTGATGGAGAAGGGATGGGGATGGAAACAGCGCATTGGCCGAGGGGCGCTGGGAGGTGCTGATGCCCTCGCCCCCCGCCCCTTAAATAAGATCAAATAAGAACCTGTTCAAGTTGGAACAACATAAAGCACCCTGCACACCTTAACTGTTATGAGGAGAATTTGAACAGCAAATGTTTCCTCTGGTGTCTGACAGCTGAGTCATTCTGACATGGCATTTTTGGGTCTTTTAGGGAGAAAAACGGAGCTCGATGTAGCTGGACTCTGGGAAGTAGCACTCACTTCAACCTCCCGGACCACTGAGCACTTCGAACATCCACGTACCCACCAAACCACAAAGCAACACGCCCAGGGCTTGGGGGAAAGGGATAGACACCAATTCTCAAATGCCTAGAAAACACAGTAGAGAAGCCAGCTACCCTTGTTCCTTTCGAGGTCCCTTTCACTGGGAGATATGATTTCCATCAACATCCTCGTTAGAATAAAATTCCACCCAAAAATGTTAATTTGGGGGTCCTTCCCAGTTTATGATATTAGTCATTCAGTGACCTCTACTCAGTGTAGGGGTACAAGAAGGCAAAGGAGCCCCGCTCTGAAAGCTGAAGCGTTTGTGTCACCTCCACATACGAGAGTGGCATGTGGCTGGCTCCATGGAGGGAGAACATCTCCTGGGCAGGAGGCAGGAAGAGCCATGCTGGCAGGGACCGCCCAGGACAGAACAGACGCTTTGGCCTCTTTAGATGTGTTAAAGTAGAAGGTCTCTCGGCATAACCAAGGGCAGGTGGGGGGGAGGAGGGGGAGGGACTGGGCTGAGGTGTCTCCCGCTGGCAGGAAAGGGAGGTGCCTGGCCCAAACTCTCTCCGCCCCTGGGGCAAGTGGGCAGCCCCGCCCATCCCCATCGGGGTAACGGCCACCTCTCCTCCTCAGGGCACTCGCCTCATGATCACAATGTTGGCTTCCCGAGTGCTCTGTCCAGGGGTGGGGACAGTCTGCCTGGGCCTGCTCACCAAGCCTTCTGGTCCACAGCCCATGCAGAGCAGCAGGCTCGTTCATGTACCAGGCTCTGTAACCTTAGCTGGTGGGACGGCCCCTGGGGGCTCATGCATTCCTGGGTGTATTAAACGAACCAACCGCCCAAGGCCATGGGGCTCAGTTCCAGGCACAGGAAATGGCTCCGTGACCAGGGTTAGTGGCATCACCCTGGTGACGCCAGCCGTGGGGACTCCTGCCGCCTCCTGCCTGGCTCTCTGTCAGAGACTCACCAGGGACATTATGCCCCCCTTCAAACCACTTGAATTAGCAGCGTAGATACAGTACATCTTATTTCAACATTCCTCTTACTATTCTTAACACTGTATATTAAAAAAGATTTTTAAAGTTACCTCTAAATATAAGAGCAGTAACCACATGCTGAACGTTCCCTCTACACATCAGTGTATTATTTCACCTGAGCCTTACATTCCCATGAGCTAAGCATCGCCTCTTATGTCATCAAGAAACAACTGAGGCTCAGAAAGTGTACGTCGCTGATGCAAGGCCAGGCACAGAGGAAGTGGTGGAGTTGGGACTTGGCAGCAGGTCTACATTCTACCCAGCACACCCTATGCTGCTAACAGTGACCAGATCTCTCTCTCTCGCCTGTTTCCTGGGGATCCGTTTCACAGAACTGAAGACTACATTACGCAACGCTCTTTCCATCGCCGCGCGTTCTCTCTCCACACCACCGCAGCGGAAACCCAAGCAGGTGCTGAACTTGGCCCTGCCCCGCCAGGGCTCCCGGGGCTGAAGCTTAGCTTCAGACAAGCTCATGTTACTATTGTTTCCTATACCTATTCATCCTGTCCTGATTGTCGGCTGGAGTTTGGGGCTATTTGGGGCCTTTATTTCTTCACATGAGTGCATATAATGCCATGGTAACCAAATTACATTTTCATTTATTCTCATTCCATTTTAGGTTCAGTACTTAAATAACCCACTTGAATTTGAATCAGATTATCATATCTCTTTAACTACTGATTTAACCCCCTACCTCCCTGATACCAGGGTTTAATTTCTCATTTCAGGCTCTAACTGGAAAGCTACTGAAAATGCGCTTTGGGATTATCGTGTATCCATTTTCCTTTGAGTTTCAGAGAATGCTGCTTGCAATGTGCAGTTAAGACAAGCACCGTTTCCATAAACCTGTCAGCCACACCGCCCTTCCCTTTCTACCCCATAATGCACCTCCTTTGATAAAGAGGGCAGCAGGGTGTCAGGAAGGAAAATAATATTTTAGCAACCCCCCCTTCATTTCCCCTCAGCTTTCTAAGAATGGGGAGGAGAGAAATGTATCAAAGCAATCATGTTTAATGTTCCCAGGTGACATTTAGGGTACACGGAGGGTGGGCATGTTTGGCTGCTGCTTTAACTGGGGTGGGGGGGATTGTTTTTATCTTTATTTTCAGTACCTTTGCACCCTGTTTTAGCTAAGCAATTCCTCACTGATGTACCTGGCTGCTGCCAACATTACACTAATGCGAACCATGCCGTCCAGCATGAGCAAGGAGAGCACACTCACACCACACTCTTTACTTCACGGCCTCAGAGCCTCGGAGAGAGAACCTCGTCAACCCTTGCAAAGCCACCTGAAGCCTGTCCGTGACCATCACTCCCACTCCAAACTGCAGCACAGAGGGAAGCGGCCGACCTGGTGACAAGCCTAGTAAGAGGTGGAGCTGAAAGGAACCTATGCCGTCTGGCTCCAGAGATGCTGTCCTTGAGTGTCGTTCTCTGCTAATCCTGAGAGGGGAGGAGTCATGTGGAATCGGGGACCTTGGCTGCACAGGTATGCAGTATGCTCACCCTCGCTGAGGACAGGCCCCGCAGCCCCCGCCCCGTGCGCTCTCCCAGCACCTGGGCAATGCTAGCTAGGCACGTGGTATATGCTCGATACATACCCCCCGCCCCGTGCGCTCTCCCAGCACCTGGGCAATGCCAGGCACGTGGTATATGCTCGATACATATGTATGGACCGAGTGAATAAATACATGAATGAATGATTATTCTTAAAATCAAGAATAATGCGTTTATTTGGTGCTACCCATCCTGATGGGGGCGTTCATGCTCTAAAATGATGGTGTCAACAAGCTGAGGGTGCACCCTTTAAACCTAAATGGCAGTTTGGGCAAATGCTTCTTACTTAGAAATGTCCTCTCCCTGTGACTTGGAACAGAAAGGGCACGGCTGATACGTGTGGCCAAGCCAGAGAGCTCAGCAGTGCTAGGACCTTCATGCCCAGGGGTGGTGGCTAGCTTTCTGTGGAAGGGAACTCGATCCCTCTCTTCATGTATAAAAGCCCTATAATCATCTGAGTTGCTTTGAAACTAGTGAAAGGTGGAACACAAATATTTGAAAAGCACATGCCATGGGAGGTAGAAGCGACTCCTCCAGTATAAGTGGTGGACACAATGCTAAAGGGTGGACACAACACTAAAGGGTGGACACAACACTAAAGGGTGGACACAACAAACAAGAAGGTGTATACCCACCTGTTCTGAAAAATACCGGAAGCCCTTGTCCTCACGAATACACTCATATGTTTCTCCAAGAACCGGATTGAAGGGCTTGCTCCCAGCGCGGTAGTAGCTGGATGCATATGCCGACACGGCAAAGGCGGCCACGTACACCTGCGGGGAAGGAGGAGAGAGCGTCGTTATTGTCCTGTAACCAAGACATTTATTTTTACCAAGATATGAGCAAGATAAAAGGCTTTCTTTCTCTCTTTAAGGTTTTTTCAGAAGCCAAAGATTTACCTCTGCTTTAAAGACAACCAAACCACTTTTGGTTTAATTTTTATTTTATTTTCGTTTTATCTATTTATTTTTAATTAATCCTCCCCCCCTTTTTTTAGAGAGGGAGGATTAGGAGGGGCGGGGGAGACACAGACAGATATTAATGTGAGAGAGAAGCATCCATTGGTTGCCTTTCTCATGCACCCTGATTGTGGATGTGCCCTGATCGGGAACCAAACCCATGACCTGCAGCCCAACTTTGGTTTAAAGTTGCAGGTTTCAGTAATGCTCGCTGTGGCCTCAGAGACAAATGAACCAAACATGTTCAAACCGCCCATTTGTTCTGATGCCGCCCCGGTGGCACAGGCTTTCGACATGCCGCTCTGTGCCACGTGAACTGCCCTGTTCGTGAGCTGTTCAGCCCGGCCCAGCACCTCCGGACCTGACAACACCCGAGACTCCTGATGTCCTGCTTAGGTTTTGGGGGAGAAGGAGGAAGAAAAGCATAAAAAGCCAAACTTTCCTCAAATTTCAGAAATTCGCAACCTAAGTTTAACCATTCCCAATCTGATGCTGTAGAAATAGCAAAACTCGTTTTGACAAAAGAACGTCTGTGCGAGTCATTGCCTGAGCCTGAGCAGCAAGCCCCGGGACGGAGCACGGTGCCTGCCTTTGCGAAAGTTCTGCTTCTGGGGGAGGACAAAAGGGAACTCACACAGGAAAGGGAAGGAAAACTACAGGTGACCACCAGGAAACCAGATCCCCGCATGGCCCCCACTGTGAGGCCCTCGGCGTTTTTATCGGTTTCCCTTCCAGGATCCCCAAAACACACATTCTTTTTTTGTCTTTCTGGGGAAGGGGGGGGGGGCGGGCAGCAAAAAAATTAAACTTAAGTGGCAAGAGCAGCTTCTGCGTTCTAATACTGAGCAACCATCTCCACGTTTCCTCTTCCCAGCACCTGTCACGAAGCTGCTTCTCTGGGAAGAAAAGCTGAGTGCCCTTCATCAGTGTTCACTGGACTCACACCTTTCCTCAGCCATTCACCGATAGGCGCCACCTTCCCCCTCACGCTAGAGGGCACCCTAGAGCGGCTGGGTGGTTTATAAACACGGATCACTATGCTCCATTCAGCCTTTGTTCTTGAAACCTGGGTAACTGTTCCTCTCTCTGCTTCCTCAATGCCCGTTACCTGTTCATCAGCAAGGTCACAGTCTCTATACTGAACGCTGAGCCAACCCTGAGTCACCTTCCCAATTTAAACTAGAACAAAATGCACACATGAACCTGGAGTCACTCATAATGCTGAGGGAGACAGGGGAGGGAGCAGGCACAAGCAAGCATCCTCCTTTTTGGCTGGACAGCAGAGAGATCTATGCAGGGCCCAAGCTGACCCACAGAGCAGTGAGCACAAGCCCAGGGGAAGGTTCCGGCTCCCAGCTTTCCTGGATTTCCCCTCCTGCACTTGGTGCCGGAATGCAAATCCTTTGCTCAAATTTCTTCTCAAGGTCAATTACACCAATCAGTCAGCTGAACATCCTAAGGGTTTCTTAATTGTGGCAAGAATGAAGCACCTTTAAGAATACTTTCATCTTCAACGCCAAACTTTTCCTTCACAGAAAAAAGCTGTCCACAAACGCTGACTTTTAACACTTGCCTTAGAAGCTATTTGCTTCCCTTTGTTCAGCAGAAATTCTCTGGGGAAGAGTAACAAAGATTGAAAAGACACACAGTGTGTTTTTCTCTCCTACTCTTATTATCTGTGGTAACAAGAAAGCCTCCTTGATGGAGAAGTCCCTGGAGGCTGTGTGGAATGCCTCGGGGATGTCTCTTTTCACCCACTAGTTAGAGTTCCCTTTAATCTTCAAATCACTAAAGTAATGACGTTTTGATTAGGAGGAAAGCTGCAGAATGCTTAGAATTTAGGAAAGAATTCAGCTCTCTCAGCTGGAAGGTGGCTTTATGACCTGAACCCAAGGGGGCGTGCCAACTCCAAGTCAGCCACTCAGCAAATGCCCAGGACAGAGACTCTGCATTGGGGGAACACACTGGAGTCCCAGCCTCCCACACAGTGACCTCCCTGCTGAGCAGGTAACATGTGAGGGCTGAGCTGTCCAGTCTCACCACCATGGAGTTCCCCAAACGGGGACCGATGCGGAACACTCGGGAGCCCCTCAGTGGAAACTGAGTAGACAAACAAGGTGACCTTCTCTAGGATGAGCTTCAAAAAACACATAGTAACAATTCTATACACTAAGGAGGAGGGGGAAGAAAACACAAAAAGAACCTTCCTTATGTGAAAATCTCTTCTGAGAGTGTTATTTTCTGAAAATCTAGGAAATAGCTGTGGAAATATTCCAAAAATAAACAAAATCATTCTCAAGGGAAATTTATCCTCGACGAGAAAAACAGCTTGAGAGATTAAATTCTATCCACCTGGGATAGTAAAAATAAATGCCCAGACAGCCCTCAGGGCAGGCTTTCCAGCCAGGCTTATCAGAACAATCACATGGAAAGTTCTGGAGAAAGAGGAAGCGCAA